ATATATATATATGGGAACAAAACTAGGTGACAAAAGTATCGGTTGTGGCATACAACAACAACATAAGGCCCTCTTCACCGCTCCTACTGCCGTTTAAAAGATACTATGTTTCTGGAGCTACCTTGAAGAAGGTTGACGAAAAATATCGGGTTGATGACTATGACTTCTCTTGGACCATCACTAACAACACCTTAATCCAGCCATGTGAAGAACATATAGTGTCTCAGATGTACGACCACATTGAATTGCAACAATTTCGCAATCTACATCGTTTTGCTTATACAGATAACCTACAAAGTAAGTGGCTTTCGTAATGAATACATTATTGATTAACTGATGCTTAATTGTTTGATATTTATATGAATATTTCATACAATTAGCATATTTTTTTTCTTTGTAGATGTTCTTGGTGTTTTAGCATACGCCTTTGAAGAGAAGCAGATTGAGTTTAATTCGGTAAACAGAGACATTTTGATTGTTAATGAAAAGTAAGTTTAACGTACTATTTGTTTAAATTTGAGGTTGTAATATTAAGATAATATGGTGCTAATTAACAACATTTTTTGCCTGTGTAGGAATATGCCAATCATGTTAACACTATGGAATGATTTGGCCACTACCGAAGGTGCTCAACTTGCTGCTACCGTCAATGCCAGCAATGTCATTCTAGCCTTGCGTGTTAGGGTGACAACTTATAATGGTACCGTAATGTTTGACAATTGTGCAACATCTTTGCTAATTTATTAGACAATACCTTAATTTGTTGTTGCATGGCAGGCATTTCACTATCCACTCGGGTTCAAAGCACTATTATGATGAATCCACCTTTGCCTGAAGTCACAACACTCAAACAGTGGTAATATGTCTACTAATTCATTATTTCATTAAATTCAACATTGTACTAATTCAAAACCCTAGGTTTAAGTCTTATGTTGTGTCCACAAGGTACATTAACAACAAGGTTGAGATTGGACAATTGATATTTGCTGGAGCTTATAAGGGTGTCTCGGCTTTGTTGCTTCTTCTATGCCTGATAGAATTATCACTGTGCATACATTAATAGGTCCGGAGCGCAACGTAATCTAATTATGCTAAAATCTTTCGTAAGACATACAATACCTTCTGAATTAATGTTCTGGACTAATAAATACTTTTGTTTCAATTTTGAATAGATTCGAACTGCATGAATTCAAGGCACCGCTTCTTTGGGAGCCATAAACCAACCTCTTTGGTTTGGTGCATGTATGAATTGCCGCAAGAAAATCGAGCTTCAAGTCACCTCAGAAATAATGTGCAGCTCATGCAATAGGCAGAGTCAGATTTCAGTAAGGTATTGGTAGTAATGCAATGCAAAATATAAATGTGCAAATACATGAACATTAAACAAAATGTTATCATATGATCTTCTTTGCAAACTACCACATGGCAAGGATTCCAATCAAAATTGAAGATGGTACTGGTTTTATTGTTGTCGTGGTCTATAGAGAAGATGCTGAGCTACTAACCAAATTCAGTGGAGTTCAACTCCAACAAGCTGATGAAAAGGTTGTTCATCTTTAACAAAAAAAATGTAAATACGATTAAGCATTGCTAAAAGGTTTCATAAACTTCAACTATTTAAACCACTGTTACTAGGTGCTGCATAATGTGTTACTTGGTAAGTGTTGCAAGTCATTGAATGAATGTTGGTACAATTGTTAATCCTTCCATCCTCATACATATGCAGGGTGAAAACATATTGTAGAAGCTCAATGCAAACATGAGGAACAAGCACATTGTTTGCTTTGTGAGAATGTTCAATGTGAATGGACCAAGTTACTCGGTTGTCAAGCTTTACAAGGATGAAGATGAACCAACTCCTATTGAAGATGAGAAAGAAACTGAACAATCATTGTCTGGAGATAAGGTTGTTGTACATTTTAATGCTTGCAATTTTTTGTAGGATGTACAGCAGGTTACCTCGCACCACAAATTACATACCAACTTGACGATTATCCCTGTGCAGGAACCATTCGAGTCGCAACTGTTCACTCCCAGTGCAAAAGCATGTCTGGAAGAGATAGCCGCCCAAATTCTGAAGACCGACATGCTGGGGCAGCCAAAAGCAAGTGTGAGGCGCGTGCTAAACTGGGAAGCTGAGTCGTTCGACTCAATAAGTAGAAATTTAGCGTTGGACAACTATTATGTGGTTGGAACCTCCGGTGAGGGCAGTGGCACTAGCGACGAAAATCAGGCTGACAGCCCCCTGAAGAGAGCACGCACCCAGACTTAAGGGTGGTGCTTTAGTATGCCGAGACAGCTCCTTTTGCTTATATTTGACAATTCTATAAATGTTATGTCTTATGTCAATATTGTGTGTTGTACCCTAGCTGTCTTGAGCCCTTTTGGAAATACTTTTGTTATCGGTTTAGAATAGATTGAGCATCTCTATGTTATGTTGCTAAACTAAGTCTAAATTGCTAGAACCTCTATGTAGCTTATTTCTCATGAGAAGAAACATTGTTCTGTGATAGCCTGCTATGGCCACCTTTTGTTGCTGAAATGGGTGTTGCTGCATTTTACTCCTATTATGTACAAATATTACTTTTAATCAATGTTTAATGTTAAACTTTGTGTTTTGTGGTTTTATGTTGCTCAATTTCTTGCTATGTGCCACTTTTGGAATTTCAAAAAATATTAGTTGTTGGAAGTTCAAAAAATATTAACACAAGCATAATTCCATTTTTTTTTTCTTCCCTATGATTATTCTGCTAAGTTGGAATTTCGTTGTTGTCTTTGTGGAGGCATATTTATCTTAATAGACTGGGACAAATTTAATAAAATTGAGCCTGAGTTAAATAACTTGTGATAATCTTACATATTCTATTAAATCCTTTTCCTAAAAGTAATGTCACCTACGAATTAGAGAGTACTTTTGATGAACTCTGTACATGGTATAATTTTGATTATTTGTTGTCTTTTAACTTATAATAATTAGATGGAAACATGTGTGTAATTGTAGGATGATATTTACAGATCACTCTAGGAAAGAAAATTGCTCGTGGATGTACTCTAGGCAAACTCTTTGTTGTTTATTTATGCATAATCATGTGGTTTGCTTTTTATTTCGCTAATTGATCGTTATGGTGGTGTATTTTTGTTTCCAATTATCGTTGTAGCTTTTTAGTTGCTATTAATTTATAATAATGTATTATACAGAAAATAACTTAGAAATATTATTACAAAATATAGGGCATAATTGTAATTATTAACGTACAAATAAATGGGGATTTGGGTCCAGCTGTGCCAGCACAGCCGGAATCAAAACTAGTACTAAAATAACAATGAAAGTAAAAGTGCTTGAAATTTATTACTTTATTTCCAACAAACCAAAGCACAAAGTAAAAAATACATAATCTCACTTAGACATGGCCACAGCTCGGCCCGGCCCGTGGTCCCGGTCCTGGCCCTGTCCTGGCTCAGCCCGCAACCAGCCCGTAGGTTGCCGGTTCCGAGAACCGTCACCGTAGCTTTGCGGGTCGTGTCCGGGTCCGGTCACAGGCCCAATCCTTGATTTTTGGCAGACTGGTTAAGGGTCACCTGTGGGAGGCTCGCCGGCCCAGTGGGTCGGGCCGGACTACAGTCATCTCTAATCTCACTCACCTTAGCCCTTTAATATTTTACTTTTGTTTTTCTTTCCCAACGACAAACAAAGAAACTTAAAATACCTCAAAGAACAAATACAAAGTTCAACTACACGAGCACCTAACTAGGTATAAATATTACTCCAACAATGATGGTATGATTTGTATGATAGAATGACATGAGAATGAAATGATGATTCCCTTACTTTTTCCGTATCTCATGATTGATATATTTATTTTTAAAGGAATGATCATTCCAATAGGAATGACAAAACTCATCTCCGTGGGATTAGCCATTTCATAGCTAAAGCAAAGTTTTTTCATTTCCATATTTTGTATGAATCACTTTTTCAAAAAGTAAAATTAACAAATAATAATAATAAATAAATATATAATATATGTTACAAATCAAGATTAAATTATATTAAATAGAATTATTTTTTAAAATCAATTTCAAATAAAAAATTTAAAAACTTGTTTTTATTTATTTTTTAATCAGATATATTACATACTTATATAAAAATAAAACTAAAAAAAGCACTTATAAATAATTTAAAATGATGTTATTTTTATTTTTATACATCATATTATTATATATTTATTCATAAATTAACTTATTATATTCGACAACATATGCTTATAGAAGTTTATGTAATGATAAATTTGTATTAGTTAATATGTATATGAATACACAATTCACTAATATTATATAACATATATGAGTGTAACAATACAAAAATATAATTATTAAAAATAGTATATTTTTTTAAGAAATAAAATAATTTTATTATTAACCTAAATAAAAAATAACATTAATATAAATATTATTTTTTTCTATAAAATAGTGATAAATGGTAATAAAAGATGATAATGTCATTCCATTAGGTCTTATTCCTTCTGCATATCAAACACGTCAATAGAAAAACTTGTTTCATTTATTTCACATATTCATTCATTATTCAACTCATTCCATTCCTATCAAATTTATTCTATTATATCAATCGCGCGATGAGTAATTAACCGCAAGAAATCACAAATGATTCCTTTCAATAGCCATTTTACCTAATAAATCACTACTAGAATGACTACAACAATCCAAAGAAAATTTACAACAAACCAAACAACAATGGCATAACAAGGATGACGCGCATAACACAAATATCCTCGGCACAATCTCAGAAACATGATCAGAGATAGACTTTTGTTGACGAGTGTGTCCACAATCCTTTTGTCATCCACATAGAAAATGACCTTCTTCCAATTTCTTCATACTGCATTCTCCATAGCCCACCTCAAAGCTACCAGAGTAGCTTCCACTGAACCTCCAAAGAAGTCCCTAGATATAACTCTCTCTTTCAGCTTCTCTGAACCTCTATAAGCCAACCAACCCAGACCCACCAACCTAGTTGATCCAGTGAAAGGGTTGATTGTCATGGTCATTATCTCTTCCCTCTGTAAGTCTATTCTCACCAAACCAAAGCTTATAACCTTTTCTCCTCTAAGCTCAATTCTCACCCCATCTTTGGCAGCTAAAAATTATAGCCAATCCCCTCTAGCACACTCAACTATCCTCCCTTCACTAACTCATTCCTTATTGAATACCAAACTATTTTGTTTTTCAAAGTCACCAAATTCGATAAGTTGAAAGATCTCCCCAATCTTTTGAGGCATTTGGCATCATCTATACAACAAGAACCCAACTACCAACTTCTCCAGATGAAGTTTTTTTTTATCTTTCTTAAGATTGAAAGCTTTCAAGTGAATTGTCACATCCTCTAAATTAGGTATAGCACATCAATCAGAATCGAGCCATTTAACCATATATGATCGTTGCCACTAAATCATTGGTCGTCCATTTAAGTCGCTAGTAATGGTGCTAACTCTATGTTTCGTGTGTGCCTAAACCATCAACGACGCTCATCGATTATTTTTCCTTAACACGTAAACTAATTGGTAGGTCTATGTGCATGACAATGAAGAAGAAAAACAAAAGAGACCCGAGATGAGAAATGTGTTAAAACAAAATACGTACAAAACTAGAGTTTGGCTGCAACTTTTGAATGATTCAGTAGACTTTCATAAGAAACTGAATGGGAGAGAAAAGTGATGAAAAAAAGAGGTGTAAAGCTAAAAGGCACTGTATCACATTAAAATTGTTCACTACTCTTGAAACTACCAATTTACTATATTAAAGCGCAATAAATGACAATTCGTAACTTCCAAAAAATGGAGAGTTAGTAGTGTGTAGATAAAATTGATCTTGTTGATGTGTGGAATAATTTTCTCAAACATTTAAAACAAATATTTGGTGAGGACTAAAGTCCCAAACACTTTCAAAGCACAATTGAGCTTTGTAACCATAATGGGAAATGCTTTGGTCTCGTTACGGTACCATCCCGTCGAGTGTCTTAATTGTATGTAGTTAGCATAAGATAAATAATCCAACGGTTAAAACACCCGACGGGATGGTACCGTAACGGGACCATAGCATTTCCCACTAATATATTGAAGCATTCTAATTACTTGTCATCTAAAAATCGCCCCAACCAATGTGTATCAATCCACTTTATGCTTGTCTGATCAATTTCACACATACTACTAACCAGTTTGAAAATAATAAAAGTGCCAACAAGTGCTCGTACTGAATAACAAACTCAAGCAAGCGTTTTGCATGAATCATGACAAAGTCAAGACCCCAACAGGATGAAATTTCATTGATCACTAAAGATATACAACATCACATGTAGTGAAAATTATAGTTACAATACTTCTCAAACACACAACCATATTTTATGAATTGCAATGCCGTCTCATACACCAAAGTAGGGGATACTAGTGTTATTTGTGTGGTTGATGAATATCAATAAAATGGCTCAGAAAACACAAGAAAAAAATGATAAAAGAGAAAAAGTAGAGGCACATAAGATTACGCTCTCCTTAAGACGAAATATGCCCTTATATTACCACGGATCACGACTAAAATATAATGACTTTTGATTTGTGTATACCGATAACAGTACACAAAATTCCACCAAATAATACTCAAGTTTCAGAACTCTCAAGATCGAAACGAACACAAAATATTTTATGAACTTTGTAAATAATGCAAAAGAGCTCTTACAAATCTAATCTTTTTGAATGATTTCACTTCATGGGTATTTTTAAAAGTTCTTGAACATATCAAGG